ATTTTGTTTTTCCCCAAATGTTACTAAACGTTGGCAATTCTTGTCACTAATTTTTATTCAAAATCGATTTATTTCACTGTGATTTGTACAAATGAGGCCCCGTTCAGGGCCAGTTATTGTGTATTTGATGAAAGTAACGTATTTTTCTGTTTTTTCGCTTCTTGGTGAACAGTCGGTAAGTATGGTTTCTGTAATTTTATTTCTTTTGTGACTTGTGATTTCAGGCGTCCAAGAACAAGAAATCGAAAAAGGCCGATTTTATCCCCTACCGAGACTCGGTCCTCACTTGGTTGCTCCGGGAGAACCTCGGGGGTAACAGCAAGACCGCCATGATCGCCGCCATATCCCCCGCCGATATCAACTACGACGAGACTCTCTCCACTCTCAGGTATTTCCCCGATTTTCGTCGATTTTTTCTAATACCCGAGACAGATACGCAGATAGAGCCAAGCAGATCGTGTGCAAGGCGGTGGTCAACGAGGACGCCAACGCGAAACTCATCCGAGAGCTCAAAGAGGAGATCCAGAAGCTTCGCGAGTTGCTCAAAGCCGAAGGCATCGACGTGCACGAGGGTAAGATTTAGTCAGTTCGGGGGGTAGTTTTAGAAATTGACGAACAATTTAGTAAACTCGAGGCTGATTGTATTTTATTGTGCGGCCAGGGCCGGATGGTAAAGTTATTTATGAGAAAAGGGAGCCCCCTAGTAAGTATTTGCTTGAACGGCCACTCTGAATCATGAGTTTGTCTTGGCACTTTTAATGGTGTGGCGACCATACGAATGTCTGTTATTCTGTCTTCATTGTGTAGATCGAATGGAGGATTGTTAAATAATTTGGTGAAATTACGCGAAATTTAATTTTCTATTTCATTGTTCGCTTAAACTCAAAATCGATACGAGGTCTTGCTTGCCCCCTTTGCGTGCAGTTTACAATGAAACGGAAATTAGGTTGGTACTCTTCAATTTGCAATTAACAGTTTACGCACCCCTATTTTGGTTTTAAATGTTGGCTCTACTGGGAATTTTTTTCCTACTTATTTTGTCTATGTTCTGTCATATTGAAAGGTTATATTGGGGATAAATAAAAATAAAGAAAGTATTGTAAAAGTTCCCATATTTTTTTTAGATGCAAGAATACTTTATAACCTTTTAACAAGCACATTTAAATGCATTTTATTCCCAAAAACACAGATTTATTTCTCAAAAAGTAACAGTTGTTTGCATTCTGTCAATTTGCTATCTGTCAAAAGCCATCAGTGCAGGTAACCGTAAAAAGAATTTTTTCTTTTAGGTATAGACAGGTTAAAACATTTTGGTATACTCAGACAACGTCACCTTGAAATTATTTATGCACAAAAAAAGAAAACACCATTCAAAATATTACTCTTTTTCGTAATTGCCTTTATCTTCTGCATCGATTATAAAATAAGTCAAATTTTTGTGTTTTTTTAGCAATTTGAATCGAGGTTTTGAGGTTAAATTTTTCGAAATTTATTATAAAAATGGTGGCTGCGCCGGGAAAATGTAAAATCTATAAAGTGAAACTATTATTTTGCGTTTTGTATGTGTGGAAATATGAATTTTTGTATTTTGATATTAAGAATCTGAAATAATAATTAAAAAAATAAACAATGAATGTAAGCTTTTTTAAATACATTTTTTGTAACTTGCCTCCATTTTGATTCTCTAATTGACATATTAAAGAACGGACGTCTAAATAGTCAAAAGAATTCATTGTTAATACAAGTTAATTGAGTAATAATTAAGGAATTTTTCTCTAGTTGTAGGGATTTTTTCCCACAATCTAGGGATTTTTTTAATTTTCAATAGAAGTATCAAAATTTTGAGTTTGTATAGAAACGCAGAAACCGAAGAGCATTTTCTGTAGTTACAGATATAAAAATAAAAATATACTGGAAGTGAAGTATGTATTGTTTATACAATTTTAATTCATTGTTATATTGTTGATTTTTTTGTTAACATATTTTTATGTTGTAATCTTAGTGCAATAAGTTCATAAAAAAGTAATTATTTTTTCATAAAGTTTAGGGAATTTTGACGCTACAATCTAGGGACAAGCGCTTACGTATTGTTTATTTTTTTTATATCTTTAATAGAATATATTTAATTCATTGTTATATTGTTGATTTTGACACATTTTTATGTTGTGATCTTAATGAAATAAGTTCATAAAAAGTTTTTTTTGTAAAATTTAGGAAATTCTAGGGAATTTTCTTGTAGTTTTGACAAAAAGGGAGAAAGGGATTTTTTAATTTTCTTCATTAAATTAAGGATATTTTAATTATTAATACAAACTTCAAAATTTTGAATTTGCTACATAGAAACGCAGAAACCGAAAGAACATTTTCTGTAGTTACAGATATAAAGACAAAAAAAAGATTGGGAATGAAGCTATGTATTGTTTATTTTTTTATTTCTTTAAGAGAATATATTTTAATTAATTGTTATATTTTTGATTTTTTGTTAACATTTGAATATAAAATATTGAAATAAGTTCATAAAAAAGTATTTTTTTTATAAAATTTAGGGAATTTTGATGCCACAATCTAGGGACAAGCGCTTAACCTCATTTTGCATCATTGACCTGACCTAACCAATTTGCATCGAGATTTTTTAGGTTAAATTTATTATAAAAATGGTGGATGCGCCGGGATATTGTAAAATCTACATAGTGAACATCTTCTCTTTTTTGACAGATATGTCCCTAAAAAAACAATAAAAATTTAGGGGATTTTCCTGTAGTTCTAGGGATTTTTTTTGACAAAAATGGAGAAAGGGATTTTTTTCATTAATTTAAGGATATTTTTTTTTTAATTTTTATTAAAATCTTCTAAATTTTGAGTTTGCCACATCGTAACGCCGAAACCGAAAGTGAAGCTATGTATTGGTTTTTTATTTCTTTAATAGAATTTTAATTTATTGTTATATCTTTTAACTGATTTTTAATTAACACATTTTAATGTTTATCCATAATGAAATACGCCTGTATAGGGAATTTTAGGGAATTTTGACTCTTCAATCTAGGGACAAACGCTAAAAACACATTCGTAATAAAAAATAGGACTTTAGTGCTTTGATTCATAAATAACCATTTATTGTTATATTATTTATTGATTTTTTGTTGTAAAATAAACTGAAAAAAGTTGTTTTTTTTTATATAATTTAGGGAATTTTGACGCTACAATATAGGAATAAGCGCTTCATCTAACATAAATTTTTGTCACTAGAAACCACATAGCTACCAACCTAATCAAATTTAGGCGAATTAAGAAAGAAGGAGTTTTAATTTATTTAATCTAAAAATCTTATTTTATTCCAGAAATTGTAAAATTTTTTTTAATGAAATAAATTTACGAATTTGTGACAAAAACACCCCAAACCGGACAGGACGATAAAACTTTCGATTTTCCCTAACAAAGAGTTGACCTAATTGTGTATTTTAAACATCCCCTCCATTCTTCTACACCAATCCGGAAACAAAGCGCTTTAAGCTTGCTTTTTTTCGGACATAATCATCGACCACAAATTGGCCAAAGTTTCATTTTTAAATTATTGTATGTCTCCGATTTTGTTATGATTTAATAAAGCTTCGAGTCGCATTATTTCATTTATTCCTCACACTCGAATTAATTCGAATCGATATCTAGGAGCAGAAGATAACATCATCGCTCGCAACAATAAAGAAAACGAAAGATCGAGAACAACATCGACGACAATAGCCGAAGAAGCCGTCGATCAATTACAAGCCAGTGAGAAACTCATCGCCGGTAATTCCCCTGTCATATTTCTAATTAAATTACGCTAATCTCGCTCTGATTTAGAGTTGAATGAAACGTGGGAGGAGAAATTGAAACGCACTGAAGCGATAAGAATCCAACGCGAGGCTGTTTTCGCCGAAATGGGGGTGGCTGTGAAGGAGGACGGGATCACCGTTGGGGTATTCTCCCCGAAATGTACCCCCCATTTGGTGAATTTAAACGAGGATCCATTCATGTCCGAATGCTTGATTTACTACACCAAGGATGGGATTACACGCGTGGGGTCAGCTGAGGCGAATATACCCCAAGATATCCAACTAGTGGGGTCGCATATTAAATCAGAGCATTGCATTTTTGAGAATAAAGATGGGAAAGTGATACTGATTCCGTCAAATGGGGCACTAATTTACGTCAATGGACGAGAGGTGAGTCCGGCAATGGGGTCAAATTGGGGGTAGAGTTCATAGAAAATGATAAAAAGGGAATTGTAGAGTTGCATTTTTTTTTTCGTATATTCATTGATTGAGATATTAAATATAAAAAATTCAAATATACGGTGATATTAATTTTTGTATAAATAAAATACGAACAAACAGTAACGAATAGATTCGTTTATTAAAAATGTAAACATATTAAAAAACAATTTTTGTATCATAATTGATTTTAATTAATTTTTCAAAGTTAACATTTCTAAGATGCCCCTGTTAATAAGTAGGTATATTAAGCATTTTTTCAGTGATGTTTTGTTTTCATACTTAGTCAATAAGATGTAAGAAGATGAACCCTCAAATTTTTACAAAAATTGTGGGTTTAAATAATTACAGGCGATTAATTTTTTATATAACTGATGGGCCTTAGTAATTTCAAATTGTCACTTTATACTCGTAAGTCAAAATAGAATTTTTTACTATAAAACTAATAAAATATATTTACTATTCTTATAGTTAATGTTTATGCAAAGGTATACTACATTTTGATAACTATTTTAAAATTAAAAATTTTTTTTTTCATTATACTACAATACAGGGTGCGCTAGAACTCGCGCCCCAGAGAAAATTTTCAAGTAAGGTAAGATACCAGGAACATGAAAAAAATGTTTAAAAAATTGAATCTGTCAAAAAAAATTGACATTTATTTTTTGACATTTGCCTTTTTTTATATCTATTTAATGATACTGATGATATTGTATATGTTTTTTTACAATTATTTAGTAAAGGGACAAAAATTTTGCCAATAAAAGCCACAAATAACATTGAACAGAGTTACAATTTAGGATACAGCTTCCTTGTTTCCTCTTTTAATAGCCTATAGCAAAAAAACTTGTAAAATTATTTTTCCAACAGAAATAAATAGAGTCAAAGTGCAAACTTTAAACCGTTATAACTTCAAAATTTTTATAGATAAAATTTTTTTAACATTTTTTCCATGTTCCTGGTATCTTACCTTATATAGCATTTTTCTCTGGGCCGCGAGTTCTGGCGCACCCTGTATAATGTATTATGTAATAAAAAATATAGTTACGTACGTCTGCAGCTCAACTTGTACACTGCAAATAGTTTAAAGACTTGTGTTTGGAAATGGACTTTATTTTTATAATAATTTGAATAATTTCTAATAACTTTCTCAAATGGTTACTGAGTATTGCAATTTATAAAAGAACAAATGCCTTAAAAATGTTATTTATTAATAAAGTAATAAAATCATTTTATTACAGTATATGGATTATTAGTTTTCGTCTCCATCGATACAGTGATGCCAGATTAGGGAATTTTTTCCTAGTTCTAGGGATTTTTCTAACAAAAAGGGAAAAAGGGATTTTTTTCAATTTTTCTTAGTAATCTAGGGATTTTTTACATTTTCATTGAAAATCTCAATTTTTTTCACGTGTTGCCAAGTTTATTTAATGAATAGACGAATATTTAAGATTAATGAAATCCCATAATTTATACTTATAAATAAAAATTAAGTAGGTATCTGAATATACACGTTTATTTGAATTTGTTTTAATTGACTTGTACTTAATTTTTTTATTTCTTTAGTAAAATTTATTTTCATTTATTGTTATATTATTTATTGATTTTTTGTTGTTTGGAGTTAACACATTTTTATGTTGTATTTATATTATATTACCTCAACAAAATAGGCCTATGAAATAGTATCTTTTGAATTTTTTAACTAGTTTAGGGAATTTAGAAGCTACAATCTAGGGACAAGCGCTTAATCTCATCTGGCATCACTGCATCGATATCCTTTTTGGTTTCTATGAACTCTAATTGACAGTTTTGTGACAGATCACCGAACCAGTGGTCCTCAAAACCGGCTCTCGCGTGATTTTGGGTAAAAACCACGTTTTTCGTTTCACGCATCCGGACGAGGCGCGTGAAATGCGTGAAAAGAACACAACTCCATTGGAGACCGTCGATTGGAATTATGCACAAATTGAACTATTGGAAAAACAAGGTGTTGATTTGAAAGCCGAGATGGAAAAACGTCTTCTAACACTTGAAGAACAATATCGTAAAGAGAAAGAAACTGCTGATCAACTTTTTGAAGAACAACGAAAGAATTACGAAGCACGAATTGATGCACTACAGAAACAAGTTGAAGAACAGAGTATGACAATGTCAATGTATAGTTCTTATACACCAGAAGATTTCAATAATGAAGATGATATTTTCGGTGAGTTTTTTTTTTTAGGAATTCTTGCTGTGGCTTAATTTCGATCAAGCGCACGTTTATTGGCTTGCTTTGAAATTGAGATGGGGGCGCTTTTGCAGTGAACCCTCTGTTTGACGCAGAGTGCAATTGGAACGAGAAGGAGTACGAGTTGGCGGCGAATGCTTGGAGGAAGTGGAAACATCATCAATTCACCTCCTTGAGGGACGATCTGTGGGGCAACGCCATCTTTCTCAAAGAGGCCAATGCCATCTCGGTCGAACTCAAAAAGAAAGTATGTAACCTTAGCCACTTTCAACTGATTTTGTCACAGAACTAAAAATTATAGATAGTCAGAAAAAATTAAAAAAATTATCACAGGTGTCATAGTACCTTGCAAATACTTAACTATTCGTTTGATGCAAGGAAACACGAAACCATGAGCTATTTTAAAGCGCAATTATTTTTCTTCTGACAAATAAATTGTACGCAATCTACGGTGTTTTGTACGTCTGTAGTTGTTTTTTTAGGGTTGGCATTACTAATTATTGACGTAAAAAATTTGACATTTAAAAATTACGCAAAATGTTGCTTTTTTTGGTACGTAAACTGCAAAGTCAGCGTAATTTCCTTTGTTTTGTCACTAGTAAGTGATAGTAATAATCAAAAACTCTTTGACTTTGTCACAAAAAACAATAGATAGTCAAAAAAAAAATAAAAATTAGACACAGGTGTCGGAGTGCCTTGCAAATATTCAACTATTCATTTGACGCAAGAAAACACAAAAACATGAGCTATTATAAAGCGCAATATTAAGTAAGTGCGATCTATAATGTTTGTTACGTCTATGGTTGTTCTTTGTTTTGTTTTTTGAAGGTTGGCATTACTAATTCTTGACGTAAAAAATTTTGACATTTAAAAATTGTGAAAACAAAACGTTTTTTACTGAAACTTACTCAAAAAATTCCTTTTTTGGCAGCTGATCTGCAAAGTCGGCGTAATTTACTTTCATTTCTCATTTTTGAGCCGTAATAACAAATATTTTTTTCTTCCAACTCACTGACTGTCACAAAACTAAAAAAAAATAGATAGTCAAAAAATTGAAAAAAATAGACACAGCTGTAGGAGTGTTATTTAACTATTTGACTGACGCAAGAAAACATAAAAACATTAGCTATTTATTATATTGACAAATAATTAGGACGCAATCTGTAGTGTTTGGTCTATGGTTGTCCTTTTTTTTTAAGATTGGCAGTACTAATTATTGACGTAAAAACATTGACATTTAAAAATGTGAAAATAAAACGTTTTTTACTGAAAATTACGCAAAAAAATCTTTTTTTTGGCACCTCTCACTTATTGAGCACTAATAACAATTTTTTTTCCAATTCACTGACTTTGTACCACAGAACTTAAAAAAATAGATAGTCAAAAAAAATTACATACAAGTGTCGGAATGTTTCACAAATATTTAATTATTCGTTTGACGCATAATACATAAAAACATGAGCTACAATAAAGAGTAATAATTTTTCTTTTGACAAATAAGTAGGACGCAATCTGCTGTGTTTGGTAAGTCTGGGGTTATTTTTTTTTGAAAGTTGGCAGTACTAATTATTGACGTAAAAATTACGTTTTTTACTGAAAATTACGCAAAATATCCTTTTTTGGCATCTGATCTACAAAGTCGGCGTAATTTATTTTCATTTATCACTTATTGAGTCGTAATAACAAATTTTTTTTCTTCCAATTCACTGACTGTCACAGAACTAAAAAAAAATAGATAGTCAAAAAAATTTGAAAAAATCAGACACAGCTCTAGGAGTGTCATGTAAATATTTAACTATTTGACTGACGCAAGAAAACATAAAAACATAAGCTGGTATAAAGCGCATAATTTTTCTTTTGACAAATAAGGCACGATCTACAGTGTTTGGTACGTCTGTGGTTGTTGTTTTTTTTTTTGAAGGTTGGCAGTACTAATTATTGACGTAAAAAATTTGACATTTGAAAACAAAACGTTTTTTATTGAAAATTAAGCAAAAAATTCCTTTTTTGACACCTGATCTGCAAAGTCGGCGTAAGTTACTTTCATTTCTCACTTATTGAGCCGT